GGCATTACTTATTATCATTAGTAGTAGTACTTATATCAACCAACCATGTATTTTACAATAATTAATATATTGCATGTTATGAGCAGCACAAACTAATTAATATGAGGCTGAGGCAAACTGATTAAGTAACAATAACAACTTGTGCTCTCAGCTCTGTGGTAAGCCATTTAATCACTTGTCACACGTCCCTTCTTTCCACTGAGTGACCGACATATCAAGATCAGCTGTGTCGGCCACAGCACAGTCGGTGACTGAAGTGTGTTGACAGGAAAACAGGATTTCCAATTGCTTTCTTTCTTCCCTACTTTCATTCCCTCCAGTCTGTAAACCTATTTCTCCTCTGTTCATCGAACTATCCCATGGAGCAGCTTATCATCTCCTAACATCTCTTCTTTTGTGACCTGTAATATTTTAACAGCCAATAAATATGCTAACGTAACAAAATTCTATAATGTCTTGAAATAATGGCGCTTCAAAGCATTTTTACAAGTAACCTAATAACTTTGGACAGAAAATGGCTCTGACAATTGTGACTTCGTGACATCACCCCAGATTAATTGGTTGGGTGGTTTTGCTGACAGTGAGTGAAATCTCTCCTTCACAGAGGAGGTGGATGTGTCGCAGTTTCGACGATCTCATTTTTAGGCTGCTTGGGTTATTATCTTAAAACATTAACATTTTTCTATAATTGAATTTTGCTGCGAGTGTTACAACATTGTCTGTGAATGAAATAAGTTTGACTGCTTGATTACACAACTAGATCACACCATTACATTATTCAGACAAAAAATTGCAGTCAGCAATGTTATACCCAGCCAATGTGTTATTATGCCTAACTCAATCACTGATAAAGTCATTACTGGAGGCAATGGCAGAGGAATTGCTATAATTCCATTGTTATGTAATTATAGAAAATCCAACGTCTTATGTTACATTTGCAAAACTTTTTAAAGATTAATATTTACAAGGGGCACAGGGTTCACTTTGCGGGCACTTTACCCAAATCTTCCTCATATGTGCAGAAAACCTGCATCAGACACTTACAGTACCGAGGGACAGTTCACTGGAATTAATGAACTCATCCATCTGATAGAAACATTTCTCTCTTCATTAACCTGGGTGCTATAAATTATTCTATCAATTGCTTCAGGCAAGTCAGAGACAAATAAAGAGAGAAACAAAGTGTTTTCATAAGTTGACAAAATCTCTGTGAGGCAAAGTGTATGTGACATTGAGGTTGTATTAAATATGTAGAATTACTTGTACACCTCAAGATTTATGTCCAATGGCAAGGGTTAGTGCCAATGCAGACGTGAAAAATGTACAGCCAAGTTTATGTTTGCTTTTCCTGTCCTTGGGCATGGCGGCCGGTGGTCTGTCTCTACAGACATCTCTATACTCTATATATACTATATCTAATGCCATTAATGAAGGAGCCTAGCAATTCCTGCATGGCTCCTGGAGGGACACTGCAAAGAACTTTGGTAAACACCAGGCATACTACAGGAAACTATGGAAACACCTCTGCAAATGGTTTATTAAGGCAAAGAAGTGCACACGAGCCCAAAGCGGTGCTCCCGGAGGAAACAATCTTGTCCAAAAGCCATTTGTTACCTCTCCTTCTTGTCTTTTCCTGATGGTGTGGTTGTATTTTTCAGAGCAACTGCAACTATCTTTAAGGAGGAGACTGCACTGCATCACTGCTCCTCAAGCAAGTTACATCACAGTCGCCTCGTGCAATGACCTGATCTGACAAGCATAACAAGCTTTCGCTTGTGGAGGAGGTGGATGGGCATGTTACATGTCTGACTTTCATGGAAAACAGCAGAAAGCAAACTGAAATATATTGGTCATGAACGTTTGAACATTTCTGGGCTTTTGCTGCATCAATGGCAACAGGACTTCTTTAATTTGTAGGTAATACCGATTTGTCATTATGGCTCACAGCTCTTAAAGACTCTATACCAAGCAGAAGAGTTGTTGAGACCTATACTGCAGCCCTTAAAACTGATACAATAGGAAACCATCAACTTCTCTGCGGGTGGGTTAAGGTCAAGTACAGAACTCTTGAGTAAACAAGGCACAGCCAGACAGATGGGACTCAGGTTCAGGAAACTGAAGGGCAGAATAAAATTGCTTTGTCATTTTACGTTTGAAATTGTAGACCTTTCAAGGAAGCTGTCCACTGGTGATATACAGCACTAAGCCATCATTAATGAATGCATATAAACATGGACGACATGACAGAGTCCCTCAATGTGTACCCGAAATATCTCAATAGCCCCCTGGTGGCTGGCTGCAATATAGGTCAGAAGCACCACCTCCTCTGTGTTAGCAAATTGGACATAGGTCAAAGTGCATGCAAAACATTTGAAAAACACATCATGTACGATCAATTTTTAACTAACTTTGGTTGTTGGTGCCAAAAAAACGGATTGAGACATCATGATTGACAGCTGAGATTGACTTGCGATTAGTCGTGAGGGTGCATCTTTAGACTTCAAAACCTCAACTTCACTTCGCCGTACACAACCGTTCAACAGTCACTGATAGACAGGGGCAGAGACAAAGAGTGGGAAAAAAAAGATTTGAAAAGGAATGAAGAAAATAACTTGAGGTAAAATTGGAGAATTTAAATGATAAATAAGAAGCAGAGTACAAAGTAAGAGAAGAGTGGAGGTAAGTGTGGAGTAAGTGCATGGGAAGGATGGATAAAATTGATACATTTGGATGCAGAAGATGAAGGAGGAAGAGGAGAGAAGGAGGAGGGGTTGGTGGTATATTGTATAGTGTGTCTTTCTAAGTTGTGTCTTTGTACTTGTGTTGGTGCAAACATCCTTTCAAACTAGTGAATGAGGACATTCGACGGGGGGCAAACTGTGTCTGTGAGGTGATAAGAATAATACAAAGGGCAGAATATGTAAAACAGGTGAGGAAGGGGTCAGACAATCAGGACAATTACTGCTCAAGTTTCAAATTAAGGGTGTCCGTCGTGGCAGAATATAATTCCCATTGAACAATTGGTTTATTTTCAAAATGCCAGCTCTGTTGTAATAGATGAGATCGAGATGCAAGTGTACATCTTTATAGCAGTGTGTGTGTGTGTGTG